TCTACCAGTCACATAAACCATGCAGATGTACTGTCTAGTGTTTGGCTAATTTTAGCACTTTACACTTGCGATGACCCAGTTCAGGAAGCAATTATGTAGATGATTTATTGCAGTTGAATGATATAGGCTATTCGTTACAGATTTGTTAATCTTCTATAAAACTGTGAAAGTAACTGCATTAAAGGTAGTTGGCACGATGGTTTCCCGCTCGGCCTAAAATGCTCAAAATCCTGCGAAGAAAAAGCCTCCGTTCTCAGTGACTTGTAAATCGATTTCGGACGAGTTTCCCGTAGGCATCTTACCAATCACCGCTACCGAAGATACGGCTGCATATGTGTACCCATGTATGCATGCAGCATCACGGCCGCTTCATACCAATCCCTTCATAATTTGCTTAGCAAATGAATGAATACGAGCGTCAGGAACGGTCGTCCATTTGTGGGCGGGCGGGCGTGGCGGGCGTTTGGGACGTAAAGTTGTGGCTTGATAGGGCCCTTATAAGGGCACCTTCCTCGGGGAAACCGCTATGCAGCGCCTGCCCAGGGTCGCGGAATTCTATCCTGCCAGGAGTATTGATCCTAGTCGTCTTGGGGATTTATCGTGCCAACTGCCTTTAATTAGCAGCTATCATAACGAAACTTAGTCTTGTGGATTTTCCTCCTTTTCTAAGATATTCTATTGAAGATTAGTGCAGTTTCGTGACATTATCATCGGGAAGTTGGAAAGCAGACAACTGCATTGTAAAAATCGAGAAACCCGGTAGAGATTCAACAACATGTTTCATATTTATTCACTGATCATTTATTTCTTTTGAACGTTCAGTTCAATGAGGCAGCTGTAAAGTATTACCCTCACTGCTATGAAGTTCAATTTTTTTTTAAATTTCGCTGAACATTTTGAGGCTCCCTTTAGAGCGATCTTATCTCGCTACGGTAATGCAATCGGAAACCGGAACATTCACATAATACTGTACAAAAGGGTGATGAGTTAGTGGTGGTCTGACGATGGACTGATTCGGAGCTCATGAAGAACCATTTTTGAAGTAGGTGTTATCCTTGCGAATGAGCCAGTACGTAGTGCATTCTCCCTTTCCCTGAAAGTCGTGGTTGACTTCTATTAGAGAATGTTCTGAGCATAATGAATAAGTGATTTTTAGTGATCAATTCAAATATTTAAGACAGAAACGCGGGATTCCAGATTCCCTCCCAAGCACAGAAAGACCGGCCCACAGTCACAGAGATTGTACTACTTTCGGAACTCGCAGATGTGCTGTATGAACACTAGAGGTCCACCGCAACGGTCATTCTCCACCCACGGGAGTAGCCCCCGCCCATTTCATTTCACCATCGCTGTGTAACAATGCCGCCTCGCTCGTCTTCGTATTCTGCGTCTGCGTACCAATCGGTTTTGTAGGGCCCTCAATGTTTTACAAAGATCACTCGAAGTATAAGACAGATTTTGCCTGGTAAGACCCCTGGAAGGTCTAGTATCACAAAACAACCCCACAGGAAAGGGAGGCTCAGTTGAAGTGGGCGAGAACATACATATTAGAAACTTCATCCCTGGACTAAGCATGTAGTAGTGGCGCCACTTATCACTCTCATTTTTTGATTGTAGACACAAAAAATTAGGGTTGGACTGGATTTAGTTTCGTCGCTCGCCATCACTACTCTCAGCCGCCTTTGCTGGCTTCCTGCTCTTAAGTGTGGTGGCACTTCTTGACTCCTCTCTTCTCTCCCATATCAAAGAACCACTTCGAGACAGTTCTTAAAAAGCCGTCCATTGGTGACCTTCACACGCCTATCAGTTTATTGCCCCTAGATATTGCCCAAGCATTTTGGATTTTTCTTCCAAAAGAAAAATTTGGAGAGTTCCAACTCACTTTGATATCGACTTCACCACGTTTCGTTATGACGAATTCCGGATAGTCAAGGTCGAGTAGTTTCTTTGCCTGTTCCGACAATTGTATTCTTCCTGGTTCTCCACTGGATTCCATTCGGGAAGCTGTGTTCACCTTAAACAGATTGTAATGATCAGAATGTTGCAAATTAGGCCTCCAATGTGGGAGATGCATGTCAACAAAGTCAGAAAGGCATTCCGCGTATTTTTCGAGCCATCAGCGTTCACTATGCAAGGTACATGGATGACCCAGAGTGAATCTGAAATGTTCCTCTGCTAGCAGGAGCAGGCCCTCTAGCACCGCTTACACGTCACGAGAATAAAAAGCCAGCCCTCATCGTCGACTGCCTCGAAAGGCATAAAATATTCGTCTCTGAAGTAGTTACTTAATTTTCAGGGTCGAATCGTGTGTGTGCAGGTTCCCAAACATGAGACGCCACAAGTCCAATTGACAACCAAGCGCTATGGAATCTCGCTCTGTGCAACTCGGGGGGGGGGGGCTTCAGAGAAACAACGGTTCGGAATTGTCCAAAGCAGAGCAGGTCTTGCCGTTGGAGAAATTTTTTTGCGGAATACAGCCCCTTTGCTGGGGTTTCCCAACGTGCGACGCTTCCTGGTTTGGAGTGGACGTCCAAAATGCTCGTTTACCCATCACTCCCGTCCGTGCATATTAAAGTTAGTGGTACCTGGCAAAAGCAAGGTGCCTTCCTCCCTCCCCCCCCCCACCCCCTCGCCGCCCTACCCTACGAAAATTGATGTTCGTTGAATGTTTAAGCCGCAGTCACACTGATCAAACCTGATGTGGTGAAGATGAGTGTTTAAATGCCCTTATGATAGTGGGTACAATTTCTGGGGCGGGCGGTTGTTGCTCATTCACTGGTCACCAGTCTGGCTGACGCGCATTACTGCGCGCACGGTTAAACCTATGGTACTGATAGCTGACAGGATTTCTGTGCTGAGCATTAACACAACGTAATTCCCATGTTTCGAAAACGGCCCATTTCGTCACGTTTCTCTCTTTTAATGAGCATTTGCCGATGTTTGGTGCTTATCATATTTCTAAAAGCACCATTCATTCCATTCGTTCAAATAGGACAGCATAGCGGTTGGAAGAATTTCGATGGGAAAAATATCGAAATCATGATGGTTCTTATCATTCCTCACTGGCTAACAACTCCAGACATCCTCTTTCCGGTGGAACTTGAGCGTTTAGCGGTGGGGTGGAAGCGAATCCGACCGCTAAACTGAGGGATTTTGCCAAGGGATAGAAACATCTTGACTCACTAAGCCTTCGTCTTGATTGTTTGGCCACGGTGATGTGAGCATATACTGACTCCCAAAAGCCCTTGACACTGTCAGAATTTATCTCCCACCTTTAATGTTCCCTGAGCACCTTTGACTTACTTGCTAGAGAAGTTCCCCAGTGTGGCTACAACTCCGCTGTGCATTCTCCGGGGCTATCTTCAGCTGTCATCACTTCGTGCCACCCACCAATAATGTTCCCATCCTGCCACCTATCTTACTGCTTGGAACCAACGTCCCATCGTCGCTGTGACCGGTGCTACGAATTTGGCGACCCTTCCCTTCTTGGCTCCTGTTGTTATCTTATCAGCTGTTATCACGTCCTGCCACCCACCGATAATGTTCCCATCCTATCTTTCATCTCAACCCCTTCTTGAACCACCCGTCCTACCGCTCGCTGGAAGCCACTTATGGCCCCTCCCCTCTGAGAAGCTCCATTAAGCTATCTTATCAGCTGTTATCAGCGTCCTGGGCCGCCCACCAATAATGTTCCCATCCTGCCCCTATCTTACTTCTTGGAACCAACGTCCCGTCGTTGCTGTGGCCGGCGCTATGAATTTAGTGGCCCTTCCCTTCTAAGGCTCCTTATGTTATCTTATCAGCCGTTATCACTTCCTGCCACCCACCATGAATGTTCCATCTTGCCCCCATAACCTACTTCTTGAGGAACCAAAGTCCTAGCGTCGCTGTGACGCGCGTTATGGAGATGGTGATTCTTCCCTTCTAAGGCTCCTCATGTTATCTTATCAACTGCTATCGCTTCCTGCCACCCACCAATAATGTTCCTGCCTGACCTCCTACATCATCTATCAGTTTGAGCGCATTATCACTGTTTTGAAGGAAGTTATGAATTTCCGGTCAAACACACCACAGACATTACACGCACACATACAACCAACAAGACAAACTTAACGCGGAATTATATATAGTAGGATTGAAGGGCTGAGTGGGGTGTGGCCAAACGCTTTCTCGCAGCTCTTCCACCATTGAAGCTGGCAACAACTGCCCACCTGCCGCCATCGTATCCACTACCTCTGAAAGAGAAGCCTTATCACTTACCGTGTCACCGAAGAGACAGTATCTCGGAGAATTCAATCCGACCACAGCGGCTGCTACAGGACCACTGTGGAATCCGACACGAATTACTAATTGCTCAGACTTGCGATGTGGAATACGGTAGGTCTCGAGGAACTGTAAAAGGCATGAGTTTTTCCCGAGTTTCTTGGATTACTCAGTTTGTTACCTCCATGATTTCAAGAGCGATTTCGGCAATGTTGTTGATGTGACGTTTTCCATTTTCCTCGGGAACCCCGGATACGACCATATATGCGTCTCCAATAGTCTCTACCTAAATAACGTCAAGATTATGGATTAGGAAGGAGATTCCTGAAGAATTGGATAATATCTTTAATCTATTCTCGGCCTCAAATGTATAGCAGTGTGACAGAGGGGCTGCAGTATCTGGAGGCGCTTTATTACACCTGCAGGCACACAAAGGGCTGATGGGATCCGCAAGTAATCCTTGAATGTGCATAGTATCAAGCTGCACCCATAAAAGACATCCATGTAAGAGGTTCACTTCATCACAGCACTCCTATCATCGGTGGGTCATATTTTCCAAAATGACAGAGAGGAGAGTTGCGTAAATGTGGGAGACGGTGGCACAATGGACTCCGCCTACATCAGCGTGGATTTCGCCTGGAAGCGGCTTCAAGGTACGAAGAAGCAGGCAAGTACGGTTTATTCTGTTGAAAGCCAGCATGGCGGTGGAGTGAGCCCACCCACGACTGCATTTTCTTCCAATGGTTACCGGTCCACTAGAAAACCACCAATGATAGGCAAC